TTTGTTCATATTAACATATAGAATTAATTTATTTTTATAACTAAAAGGCTTTTAATCAGAATTTACACAAGATTCTTTTATGATTTATGCAAATACCGAAAATAATATAAAAAAATCAATTAAATATTCTTTGTGAGTTTTCATCATCTTCATAAATGTGTGCACTTCAGCTAAGTGGAGACAGATTGAAAAGTAATCTAATTCTATGGTTCTCCAGGATTACTGATGATTAATCAAAAATTCAATTAATTTGGAAGGAATAATGATTAAAATTTCATACTCTCGAAATGATTTGATTGAATCTTTTGTTTTATTATTCTAACACTACAAAAATAATACAAGAAAAAGCTTGAAATTTTGAATTAAGATTCATAATTTTCAATTAACCAAATTTCATAGTATTAATCTATATAATTATATAAATGGATATTAAAATTACCAAGTTTGATAAATTATTATTACCTAAAGAGATTGCTAAATAATCACAAAACCTGATATACAATTAAAAATGCAAATTATTTATTTTGATTTATTAATAACTCATTGGATTTTTCACCAAAACACATCCAAAACATTGCCCAAAAATGACTTCTCTTCTTCTTCAGTTTCTTCAGCTTTAAATTGTCTAAGCAATACAAAGCCTGTGTCTGAAGTGAAAGCGTTACTGAGGGTAAGTGAAACAAATTATTGATTTAAATCACCACCAACGTTATAGACATAAAGTTGATAAGTTGGATTCAAATAATATGTTTGTAACAAGTTCTCATTGATATCAACATTTCTGATGATGTTAGCATAGAGTCTTGGCTAAAAATGATAAATAAAATAAATTTACGAAACCAATGTTCTTTGGAATATAGGCTAAGAAATCGTTCACTTGAGGATAGCCATATTTGGATTGAGTTCCTCCGACAAATTTAATCAAAGGTACTCCTAGGATTGGTTCTTTTGGTAACAAATAGGATGCTAACAATAATTAACTGTTATCAGTATATGCAATGACAGCATAATCATTACCGACTGTGGCCTTATTCAAAGCGGTCCAAGTGGAATATTGATTTAGGAGATAGATCACATTTTGGGAAGTCAAGGGGAGACCAGTTGAAACTGTTTTGGCATCGAAGGTCAATGCAATACCATAGTGAGCTGATGTGTCAGTTGTGATGAGGACTCTGAGTTTGAGAGATTGTTCAGATGATGAGTATACGGGAGTCGATAATTCTAAGACTTAGTAGAATGAGCTTGATGATGAAACAAACTGACCCTTGTTGATGAATGTATAAAGATTCAATGTGGAGTACTTGGTTTACCATGTGATAACTCCGAAAGTGTTTACGGATGCATCAATTGCATATAGGTTTTGTTTGGCATCAACTATAAGGACTTTGAGGTAATTTGTGACTCCAACTTTGAAGGGAGCAATGTAGAAGCTGCTGAAATAACTAGATTGATTTCCAAAGAAGGCTTTGTCAAATATTTGTTGTAAATCGAATGAGACTTGTTGGGAATTAGCAGTCCATTTGTAAACATTGAGTGCTCCTTCATAGTTTCTGGGTCTTTAAGGATTAGAATTCAAAACGAAGACGTAATTTCCACTGATGGCGAGTTAGGAAACAGTGAAGACTCCATCGATGGTTTGGATGGTTCCGAATTGATGACATTCAAGTAATCCAGTGGTTGAGCATTTAGCAATGTGGAATACCTTTTAGTTATTGAGTTGACAAGTGGCAAAGATGTAGACTCCGTCTTCGGTGGCGACGATGTGATCGCATGCATGGGATTAAGTGGTTGAAAGAGAAATGGAGTAACTGGTTTCTTCTTTGTTTTCGCTATCAGCAATCAAGACTCTGAGGGTTTGTTAGTTGGCTAGATAAATAGTTCTTTATCCTTTGTATGGGGCAGCATCGATGATGTGATATCCATTGAAAGAGCCTGTGTCCATTTATTAGACAGTTTGAATTGGTTTGACATAAGAATCACATTAGTTACAATCAATATCCAAGAAGACAGCTTGTCCATCGAACCAATCAGCAACAAGATCAATGTTTTATTCAGTTTGGGAAGCATTCAAGGGTCTGTAATCAAGAACGTTTTGCTCAATTCTTAGAGTGATTTGAGTATTGACAAGATTGATAACCTAATAATAGGTGATGGGTGTGATATCGTTGTAGTTGTTGATTTGGAATTTGATAGTGAAAACTGAAAAGTATGAAGATTAGTCATAAGTTGGTTGGATTGTTAGGACAGGATAGTTGAAATAGGAATATACTTTTTATAAGGTACCACTGTTAACATAGAATACCATTTGACTTGATCCAGCCGTTGACATCATAATGGATGTACCATCGGCTATTTTGCTGCCCAATGGAATAACTTTGAGTAAGGAATCTCTTAACAACTTTCCTGGGCCATAGACTAGGACGACAGTTTGGGCACTCTTGCTATCATAAGCTCTAACAAAGAGTACACCAGTATCTGAACAGAAATCAGTCTAAAGTGGAGTTTAGATGGTGTACCAATACAATGGTACATTTTTCATGAGATGGATGGAATTCAAATTCTGAAGATCGTATTCTTGAATCAGATTTTGAGTGGCTGATTTCAATATAACGAAAAAGCTCTCTAATCCAACTGCCACATCTATTGATCCTTTACTTAGGGTGATAACTTTGATGACTGTAAATTCAGCATGATAATCACCAACAATAACATTATCGTCGTTGGCTATGAAGAGGATATAAGAATTGTGGACTCTGTTTCCGAAGATTCTCTAAGGATTCCATGAACCTGTGAATCCTCTGTATCTGAGCATAACTTCAGTTAAGGAATATTCCAATTCGAATGGACTGTAAGTAGAACGTATGTCGATTTATTTTTTGTTACCCAAGACAAAGTAGAATCTATCTTTCAAGACAGTCACACTTGTGATTTTATTAAGAGTCTCAGCTGGATATGAAATGGTATCGACAACACTGGTTCCATTGATACCACTAACTCTAATGGTAGCAGAGTAATCGTTGTCCAAAGCAAGGTGGTAAATGTTGAAACCTTAATACCACCAAATGAAGTTGTTCAAATTTAATTAGGATTATAAGTTGAAGCTCTAATATTGCTTGCATTCTGATCTAGCTTTGAATTTGTCTCTGATGTTACATTAATAGATGGTTGTAGTCTTGTTTGTTGACTATAAGAGGAGTGCATAGCTTTCTTCATTTGCATCCAATACCAATACATCAGAATAAATCACTGAAGATGGATTTGGTAGACTGATAGATTCAAGAAGCATCTCTTATAATTGAACAATCTTGGCGGTCACTGTTGTGGCTTCCTATTGTGATAACAACTAAAGGTAATTCAGATTTGGTCCAGAGGCAAGTGGATCAACATTCACTGGTGCAGGAATATCGTAGAGAAGACTTGGAATTTACAACTCATCTGTTGGTTAGACTGAATAGTCACTGGCATTGAACACTTTGAAGTTTATTGTCACCTTGCACTAATCTGAAAATGAATCTGTGGCTATCAAAGAAAATGATGATAAAGTGGATGTTGTTGTTGATGTGCTTGGGAATCTTAATAGACCATGTGTAAGTGAATATCTTCTTGAATCTACTTAAGTGATGGAAATCAATTCAGTTTCATATGGATTAATGATGTATCCCTTGGCTCCTTCGACGACTTCCTTGTGGATGAAATCTTCATGTTCAGTACTGAACAAATATGTGACACCCTTCTATTAGATTATCAAAAATTATTATGAAATAACTAAGGTAGCTGGGTATGCTGCTGTGAATTCCAAAATGTATGTATTTACTGGTACCTTGCCTTCAACGATTTGAATGTAATCATTGTACATGATGGCGATGACTTCCTTGACTGTTCCATCTTCTTGCAATAAGTAATCTACATCGAATTCATATGCCTAGTCCTTTGAAGCGACAATTCTGTCAACGAAACCGAATTCACCATTTCCTAAGAATTCTAAAATATAGATTCCATCTCTGGCTGTCAAGATGTAAACCAATCCATTCGGGAAGACTTTGAAATCGATCAAAGAAAAGTTCATCTTCTCTGGGTTTGCTACTTCTGTGATTACTCCCAAAGTTGGTGCATCCAAAACACTTTATAATCTTGGGGTGCCTTCGCTGTCTATGTAGAACACTTCAAGGAGAGATGATAAATCTAATCCTGTGCTTTGAGTGGCATATGCTGGTGTTGATCTAAAGAGGAATGTGTGATCATGTCCTAATTTATTTGTGAACACTATTGTCTATGAGATTCTCTTGGTGTTCACTCTGTAATTGTTGTAATTTCCGTTCTGATGGATTTTTGAATTTCCATTCTTGTCAACTATGAAAAATTTATTTGTGAATGGTAATTTCTGACTATCAATACAATCCAATATGAATTTATCTTTGTTCAAATAGTCCACTCCCAAACATGAAAGGTATGAGCTTCCTGTTGTGATGCTGATCTTCTACTTGAATTGAGGAGGAGTAGCATTATCACCTTGAGCGCCTTCTGCGTAGAATAAATCTATTGAATCCAATTCCACCTCAATGAAGACAAAGTGATTCATCCACACTCTTTGTCCTTTCTCAGTCAAAGCACGAGAGGCTGTGACTCTGTTGATTGTTTCAGAGTGAGGCTTTGGACTGCTCAATTAAGCAAAGGGTTTCTGAATTTGAAACAATGACTAAGAAGGACTCAGAGTGTATGACAAATAGGCTCCCTCGAAGAAAGTATCTTTCAAATCCCATTCTAAAGTTTCGCCTGTAGAAGGGAACACCTTGAGGGTACTAAGCTTGGTATCGCATGGCTAGAGTTTGAGCTACTCTCTGGCAGCCACGGCAATTACGATCAAAATTAAGATTTTTGATGTCATCGCTTAAAATAAAAATAATAATATGGCACAATGAGTTTCAGAATATATATTTCTTCATTATGATGTCATATTATATGTGGAAAAATTAAACAAATCCTCCATTAATTAATTATTTATGCTATAAGCTCATATGTACATATTGGCATTATTGCCTATTATGGTTCTGTCGACTTGTAGTATGTGTTTATTTGTTATTCTCTAGCCACGGTTGAATTATAAGATCATGTCTACCCTACCATAAAAGAAACATTCAAATGGGATATCAGAAGATTTATTCAAGGTGATAATTTGAAGTATTAATTGGATTCTGCAACTTCTCTTTTCCAACTTGAATAACCCCTACATAAGCTAGATGAGAAGAATCATTTTGCTTGTAATAAGAATATTCATCAATTAGCATTCATTGATATTATAGCCATAAGAGCTTTTGACATTCCAGAAACTGGTGCTTGGACCAATGATTTCGCATTCATGGGCCAAGATCTTGATGACTATTCATGGTGGATTTACTATACCGAAGGGTAATTAATAATTATATATCATACTAGAAAGTAAACAGAGATGAATGTGGCTCCAAAATTTGATAAAGAAATTCAATTCATAAGTAACAATCGTCAAATAAAATGCTTGGATCTTGAATACATCGACAGAGATACATTTTTAGTTGATTGTATCGAACCGTAACCTCAACCGGAAGAGGGTCGCTTACCAGGAAAGAATTACGTTTACATCATCAAGAAGGGAGATCCTCCCAAAATTATTTCAGAATTTACATATTCTAGAAAATATTTGACTGTGAATGATAGAAAGGTATAATATCATGTCTACAATGCCCAAAATATCGGCGATGGCTTGAATGATGAGGAACCTCTTCGAATTTTACTTAGAGGTCAGTATGCTTACGGAACACCAGGTAGCAGTCCAACTAACCTTGATGGAGATTGCATAATTGATTTGTTGAAAAATAATGACAAAAATGAAATTGTTGAAACTGCTCAACATTTGGATAGAGGATTATTGATACAAGATTTAGGCATAAAAGCAGAGGATTAAGAGAATTTTAAGTTTACTTTGATTGATTTTAAAGTAATGCCAAACGGTGATATCTATGTATTGGATGCCTACAATGGTATCTACATTTATTACATCAATTCAAAGTCCGAATTCAAATATAAGGGTAAGATTGAAATCGGAGATGGCGCAACAAATCCAGCCTATGCCTTTGATGTTAATAATAAGATTAACTAACAAGGAATAAGTCATGTTCACATTGCAGTGGTTCATTAGAAATCAGTGGTTGAATACATTGATGGAGTATAGAAAGGAGGATGGTTGAACGCATTTGAAGCTAAGCATCCTTCATTCATTTTTGCAAGTCAATAATTTTTAATTGTCAATCCAGGAGGAAACACATTCTTCATTTACAATTCAGATCATCAATTCCTCATTCACACAGAGACTTTGCTCACTAAAATATACTTGGCCAATCCCTATGAACCAGATTTGATTGCTGTCACAAACTCATTCGCTTACAGATATGAAGTTGGTCATGCCAGATTGGTAGTCCATTCATTCGATGCTACACTTGGAGATAATGAAGTAGTATTTTCAGCCGTAGGATCAGACGAGAGAAGATGTTAAGCCTCTCTCAAGTATCAAATAATCAAGGAGGGTGACACCAACATTTATCCTGTTGATCATATTCCCATCCCTAATATAATGTAATACCCTTCCGATCCAATAGAAGTTTAAGAATTTGCAGCAGGACCAAACTTGATTTACACAAATGGGGATGATTCACAAAAGGATCATGTTATTGTGGACATCCACACTGTTTGGGAATTGAATGTGACTGGATTGACTTATCCAACTATTACTGATGTGGCATATGCAGATATCCTTATAGATCCACATTGGGTTGATGAACATAAGTTTTGGTTCCTCTACTAATTGCAATCAAATAAATAGATTGAAATCTTTGAGTGCACAACTCAAACTAAGGTATCAAGAGATGTTCATTGCGAAGAACATTAAAAATTTAAGATTCCAAATTTATTGAATCCAATTACTTCTTAATTTGATTGGGATGCAGAAGAAGGTGACGTATTAACACTTTAATTCCTCGAAAACGATTATTCAATTTCAATCTATGAGAGTACTCATGATTAGTCATCTCCATTATATTCTTTACCATAACCCCCCTTAGACCCAATACCTGAAAATAAGATTACTTCATTCAGTGTTTTGGGAAAAGCCATCTATATTGTGATGCAAAACAAAAAAGAAGTTGATGCTTGGTTTGGTTTCTTCCCAACTCCAACAAAACATGTTATTTCCAGTTAAACTATGAAGGATTAGGGAAGTGATAGAATATTTGAACCAAGGAAAGTGTTTGGAAATCCTGCCTTGAAAAGTGAATTTGTGTTGATTCTATCAAAAGATTGCATTTTCTTCGGAGACATGAGAAACTTCTTTACCTTAATTCATGTATTCGACATCATCCCTGATGCTGAAGTCAGAGCCTATTTGGGAATGAGAACAATCTTTATTGTTCAAAAGAGTGAAACCCAAGGATTCAAGATCCAAGAATACAATTATGAGAAATTGAACAACATCTACTTGATGAAGGAATTACCCCTTTATGATTATGTCATCCAAAGTCCATTAACAACTGACTTCTGTTTTTAAACTGGATTCTTGTTTGTACGTGCTTTGGACCCAGCCTCATAGGAAACTGTGATCTTGGTCTATGAATCAAATGTCCTCTATCAATTGTCATTACACAAAGTAGTTCAAACACATTTGAAAATTAATGATGGTCAAATCATGAATATGGCTGCCGCTGGACATGACCAAATGTACATGTACGTCAACAATCAACAAAATGTCTAAAAGATGGTTGGATTCTTAAGAGATGCCCTTGTCAATATAAAGCCATCACATCTATCCAATCAATATATCACCAATTTGGTCGCTACAGTCAATATCACCAATCAAGCAATCACTAAGCCCATGTCAATTAAATATCCTGTTAAGTATATCAACACTCAAACCTATATTCAAGTCAATTAAGAGGAGTTGGCAAAACAAAACTCACAATTTGTATTCACCAATCAAGCAGCAGATCAATATTTATCAATTAACACAACTGGATGGTAAGGCGGATAGGTTATTAAATATGAAGCCATCTGTGATCAATGCGAATCACATCTAATCTAAATGGTCAATCCAGTATATCATGTTACTGATGGATCAAACTATCAATAACACTTCGTTGATGGAGTTGCTGCTGGAAATGAAATGATCTTCTAAACTATAGATTCCATTATATTACAAGATGCTGAAGGTAAATGGGTTGGAACACACAAATTACCAGTTGGAGTTGGTGCTGATTGTATATCCATAACCGCAACTGAAGATGGAAGAGCTGTTTTCAGTGGATGTGAGGAAAGAGGAATTGTCAATATTTATCTTTCAATTTGTGATGGCAAAACATGCACTGCAGCTACACCCGCTTTGTAATAAGTTGCATAAGGAGCTAAACATCCATCCAAACTAATTTATAAAGATGGAATTCTCTTCATTTTGGATAATTACAATGACAGACCTACCTTATATGATGGAACTGTTAGAGTTCACAAGGTCGGTCTTAACATTGAAGCCAAAACTTGGGATCTAGATGCAGGAAAAGTCATTAATTCATAGTTCTTGAGCACTGAACTCAATATTCCATTTTAAGCCTCAGATTTTGATGTTATTAAATACGAAGTTGGTAATGTTAATTACTATAAACTTCTTTTGTCCAGTGCTCTTAAGAGATTATGGTTTGTTGATCTTTATTGGGATAATGGAACAATCAAATTTGGATAGCATGATAAATTTGAAATTTACAATTTAATAGGCAAAAATTTAGCAATTGAAGAAACCACTAGATTCTATTAAATTCGAGCAATCAAATCAACCAAAAAGGATAAGAAACTCTTGACTACTGCTTTGGTATCAACCACTAATATGGCCACTTATGGTGTGACATTTACCTTCGATATTTCAGATCCTGTTAAAGGAGCACCCGTTGAGGCTGATGGAACCATTCCATTCTTGCTTGCCAATTATGGAACATGGAAATAACTCAACAAACTTACACTCTTTGAAGATCATGTTGCCATTGCATACACTAACGATAAGAGTATTTTAGTTGCTCTCTATCTATTGCCAACCATCGACCATAATGCTGTCTAAGAAGGCGAACCTAGAGTTATCACTCTTATTGGAGGTGAAGAAGATGAGTAAACTAATCAAATCTCTACTCAATTTGTCATGACTCTTTCAAAAGATGTTGCATTAGCAAGAGTACATTAAATTATTTAATTTTATAGCCTGTCCTCCATACCAACCTTGTATATAACATTGCATAAAAAGAAAACATGCTAATCAAATATGGAGTCACTGATTTTCCAAGGTTACTCATCCAAAAGGGAGATCAAATCAAAGAACAAGTTGTATCCATCTATGCTAAAAATGACTATGGATAAGCCAAAGGAGTCATTCGTTTAACCAAAAAAGATCCACCTGGCCCCAATCCTCCCAATCCAAACGATGACGATTCGTAATTTTTACATTTTATATCCCTTTAGCAAAGGAAGTAGCAATTGGTGGTGGATAACCTTGATCGTTATCTTTGGAGTTGCAATCCTAGGTGTTGGTGGATACTTTGTCTATACAAAATATTTTAAATCCTCAAATGCCCCCTTACATGTTTAATCCTATTGATATATCATAATAATAATTTAAATTATAAATTATAAATTTAAGTCAAAGGCTCCATAGAATTTATCCTGAATTAAACAACTCGATTAGATTAGTATTTTATGATTATCAACTTTGTGGTTCTAAATAATTATTTATTTAATAAATTAGTGCGGCTAAATAGTTGTCTCACTCTAATCTACAAATTAAATAATTATTTGGATAATATTCATAACATTTTAAATTCGAAGTTAATAACTAAGTGATTTATCATTAATCAAAATGTAATTCATTAAGTATTTGTTCTTAATTAATTTATATTATTCTAAAATGACAAAATAAAAATCTCAAAATTCATACTGCTTTAAATGTTTATAAATATATTAGAAATTTGTTTAATTATAAAACTGTTCAATATGAAAATCATTTCAGAGACTAAAGTATGTATCCCCTTGTTTCCACACTCCAATACTAACTTGATTGATTGTCTTCAACTACCTCATTTGAATTTTTGTTGAAATCCCAATCATATTGTATTTATTGTTCATCTGTGATTTGAATATTTTACTCCTCTTAAAAATTAACTTAATTTTGCACCTTCTCCATCTCATCAAAAGGCTTGACTTTGAAATACAGATTAGGCTTGTTCAAATATTTCTGCTTCAGGTAGGAATAGAAGCGATTCTTAATCATGTTCTCCTAATTATTTATGATAAAAAGCATACTGATCTTCCATGCAATTTCTCGGATATTTTACTCCATTAAGACCCGCACTTCAGATATTCTTGGTATATCAATTCGTCTTCCACTTCTGTGATGGGTCCGTGATTTAGATTTGGATCGAGAACATTCTTGAATCTCCGTCTCACCTGCTTACCCGATTTGATTTTCATACGTTCAGCTATCTCATTCCACGATGGCCCAAGCTCTTTATAAATTTTTAATAATGTTTCATCCTCCTCTTTGGTCCATCTTTTAGCCTTATTCAGTTGGAATCCCTGGCACAGTCTTATCCTTTTCCATCTTTGGCAACATTGAGATGCATTCCTTTATTCCATCATCTATGCCACTCGAAGCCAACGATGTCCAAATAGTGACACATTTGCCATTAATTTCTTATCTTCCTCTAAAGTCCATTTAGTTCTAGTGAAGATGGAAGAATCTTTGATTTCACAACCCGTTTCAGCGTTTCTTGTTAAACGTTTACTAATTTATTTTCTAATCTTGCTCTAAGAGCTCATATATGATATTTTAAAGAAGATTTAATTAATTTGAGAACTATCTGGTATTTTAAGTGAAAAGTTCAACTAATATAATTAAGATAAAAAAGCAATAACTTAAAATCAGAACATTAAGAAAATATCCTTGAATGGAGGAAGTACAAAGCTACATTTAATATAATAATTCAATTCTAGAAAAATTCATGAAAATTATTAATTGCTAAATATTAGAAGTCAGCCGCATGAAACAAATTTATAGGTTTTTGCAATCCTTTGGGTGTGATTAAAAACCCTAAAATTAGATTTTCCATTATTTCACAAAATAATGGCTATTGATGTATAGATATCAGAATTAGTTCAGCTTATTTCTCCATATTTCATTTTTGATCTGGAGTCCTCTTTAAGAATATTTCCTCAAAATTTCTTTGAATAATATGTCTATGACCTTCCAAAAAAAATTAAAAATAACACATAAAAATATTTATACATAACAACCTAATTATATTTCTAAAAAGCATAAAATAATAATTAATATTAAAAAAATCCTTTAGTACTCATAATCATCGTTTTAATTTTTTATAAAATAACTGATAGAAATTTTTCAGAAATTTAAATACCAACTGCACCTTTTTTTGATTAAATAAGTAATTAATATTCTCAAGGAATTTTTCTTTCTAATTAATTTCCTAATACTGACTTCAAAATAATTCTCCTAATGATAATTATCCACCTTTCAGAAACACAGATATATCAAATTCGAATATGTCACAAGGCGAAAACCAATGTAACTATTTTAGTCTAGAGACCCAAAAATAATTGTTAATTTTTCATTCTAATTATTTTTCATTAAAAACTTAATTTATGCTTAATTATATAAATAAATTTTTCGTTGCTTTGTATAATTTCTATTTTTCCATTTAAGTAACATTAATTGATCTTTCGGGTCCTACTCAATAATGAAGGAGATTTTTTAGATTGTTATTATTAATTTGATTAAAAATATATTAGTCTTAGTAATTTGAGAATAACAAAAATATAAATTAAATAATTGTAATTAAAATATTATAAATGAAAGAATATTAGGTTAGATAAATTGCTAATCCTTCTCTAAATTCATACTTTAAATTTTTAGCAATTATAAGCTGTAATAAAACATTAGGAGTTTGGATTGTATATTATCCAAACATTAATAACAATTAACAAATGTCATAAATTGATTACTTATAAAATATGATTTTGGTAATGTAAACTCAAGAAAAAAGACACAAGTAAGGATAACAGGAAAATGAGTATATCCAATTTTCCCGATTTTGGTTTGATATTTGCTCTTTCAGTCAAAGTATTGTTGAATTTTTAAACATCTTGCTATCAATTTAATAACAATGATTACTAATTCTTATTCCTTCTTGGTGACTTCCTGTTGTAATACTTCAAATTTATTGCAAAAGTATTCAGCTTCGATTTTAGCCTTATCCGCAGTAGGAATAGCAATGACACGTGCAGGTTCTGCCTGTCCAAACTATTTATTAACTGATTGGAACATTTGACTTTGATTCCCTTGACTTTGAGCAACAATTTTTCTATCTTGAGTAAGAATAGCAATATTAATCTTTTATTTTTCAGACTTCCTCATTTTATCCAAGAATATGGGCCCAACATCTTGAACCCCTTGAGGCAAGGTGGTTGTAATCAATAGCAATTTTTCATTAAAATCCTTGATTGAATTAATCTCAAGGACTTTGCTATTAAGTATAATATTGACTAATTAACTCTGTCTGGGCTACACTATTCCCAAAGGGGGTTTGACCAAGAAAATGTTGAGATTGGTAGCTTTAAACTTAGGATCACGATTGGATAAAGAAATACCTTATAAGCGATGGGTTGATGAGTATCATTATATAAAGTGATTGAAGAATGCATATTGTCTAGTTTATTGTACTCGAAGTCGACTTGAGACGCACTCAATCTTAGCATGTCCATTTTATAAATAATTTAATTAAATCACTTCACAATAACATTAGCAATCAAAGGACCCAAGAATATCCATCCCACAGTGACACCTACAGTCAGAAGTAAAGCAGTTAAGAGGAACTTGCATATCTTATTATATAGATCGGGACCTTTGATCAAATTAGATTACTACCCATAATCTCCTTAATAAAACCGAGTGGATTGGTGATATCAAATGACAATCGACCAGTAGGTTCATTCAATGGAGGGAACACATTCGGAGGATCTCTGCCAAATCCATTTGGTTTTTTCTCGGCCTCAGTGAGAGGTATCAACTCAAAAGAACACAAGACTTGTCCTTATGATATTTTCTATCCTTCCTCGTCCACGGCATCTGGATGATATACATCCAACTAGTAAATGATATAAGTGTATAGGTATTACCCAAAGTCTGTCAGTTATTACACCTCCCTTCTCTCTGATTCGTTGAGTCAAAGATGTTGCTTAAAGTCTCTTGACAGCTTTGTCAATCATCTTGTGTGTATTCAAATTGAATGTTGTTTCTCCTATTAATTCATCTGATCCCACAATGTCCTTGTCCCACAATTGAATCTTAAACTTATCAGTTCCGAATTCATCTGGAAGTGCTGGATAAGTTACTTTATTCTTGATTCTCCAATTAAAAGAACCCTTAGCCCTGCATCTCCAATGAATATCCGTTTCTTGAAGTTCTTAGTTGGCAATTCCCGCTTTACAGTACAAATCGTTGCATTTCTCTAATTCGTCTTTGAATACACAATTTCTTGTCTCAAAAATAATTACTCTCAGTTCAAATTAATAGCGAGGAGGAGCAGTAATTTTAATCATGGGGTCTTTTTTGGCATAGGCCTTTTCTACCAAGTCAATCCATAATTACAATCTGCCTACTGAAGATCCGAATTCATCCTTTATATTTCTATTCTCAATTGGTTTCTTCTCAAATTAATGCCACATCACAGAAAAATATCTATCCTCCAAATCAATCAGGGAGGTACCCACTAATTCATCACCAATTGATTAGGCACTCCAAATTTCAGCTTCTATAATAGCTGATCCTGGAACTTCCATTTGCAATTCAAATGGAAAATAGAATTAAGGATTATTGGTACCTTGTCTTAATGAAAGCATTTTTAAATCATGCTCTTTTGTTGCAGTTCTTATTTTTATGTACAAATCAGGTGGTTCATCTCCTCCACTTTAAATATCGATTCCTGCTAGAATGTATAATCTGCATACATATTATTTGGGTCTCATCATTTTTATATACATTTCTTTCTTTTTCTCAATATCCTAACCAGGCTTGACCTCTAAAAACAAACATTTAAAATCACAGACTCTTGAAGGTCCATTCTTTTCAGTTAAAAATTAGGTATCTTTGCCTCTACTCTACCCTGTCATTATTGTGTACTTGAGGAATTTCTTGCTAGTTTTCATTTTATCTTCCAAGTCATCAGGTAAGAACTTCCTGCCCTTCAACCATTCAGGTGTCACATCCAAGTCCTCTCCGTCGTCTGTATCAAAATCTTCATATGTTTCAATATCAATTGTTTTTTTCTTCTTTGGTAGCAAGGCAGCAAATCCAAATAGCTTCGCCTTCTTGGAACCCTTCGACAACATCTTCTTTTTCTGTTTGGGCTTCTTCACTGCATCCATATTGTCTTTGGGACCAGAATTAACTGATAAGGCTTTTGAGGATACTTTGGATGCTTTGGAAAAGGATAAATCCGTTGGAACCTATAAGGTCTTTAAAGGTTATTGTGATTGAGGCAATTATTGAAGCTAATCAGACAGATTTGCTTACGGTTAGACAGCTTATACTTCTTGAATTTATTGTGATTGTCTACGACTTAATTCTGCTTAATTTTTGATGTGTTACTCAGCTTCGAAGACAACTCGTTAATCAACCTAACTTAACATTCTTATGCTTCTTTGAGATCCCTGAATGGGTGGTTAAACGACTCTCTACCCTATTTTCATCTACTATTGATCATTCATAGTTTTAGACTTTGGTTCTGAAGGTACTATTCTGGATTCATCCAAATTTGGTTGGAAATTGAAATCTTCAATCTGTTGTTGACTGCCTTAGCTGTATCCATTTCTATTTTGAATTGGGGATATGGGAATGGAGGGCGATTTTTATTAGAAATCCTGGGATTGGCCAAGTTTGTTGGATTATTATTTCTCAAGTTACTACTATTGCGATTGTCTTCTCTATTACAAATCATCATTTCTCTGTATAGATTACTACTTCGATCTGGGTTATTGTTGTTCAGATTATCTACGAGACTGCTGCTTTTATAGTTATATTTCTTGCTATTATTCAATTTATTATTGTGATTATTATTTCTGTTATTATTCAATTTATTATTGTGATTGTTATTTATGTTATTATTCAATTTATTATTATGATTGTTATTTCTGTTATTATTCAATTTGCTATTATGATTGCTATTATGATTGCTATTTCTAAATTAATTGCTATTATTACGATGACCTCCTTGACTATTGAGGTTGTTATTCATTTACTACATTGACTTACTATTATGATTCTCTTCTCTATTATTATGAAATAGATTAATTCCTTTATTCAATAACCTCCTGCTATTGCGATCCTCTTTTTGATTGAGACACCGGCTATTGTCCTACTTACTATTAGGATATACTCCTTTGATCCCTCTATTGTTATTGATTTTGACTGGCTTGTTCATTGTTTTATACTCTCTCATTTTGTGATTAGGATTGTCTTATTGATTAATGACTCTAGAGATTATTGTGAGATTGAATTGGATTGTTCTCACCTATATTATTATTAGATTAAGGTGGATTGTTCTCGCCTATGTTATCATTATCCATAGGTCTAGTGACCCGCACTGGGATTTGTTCTTCTGGAGCATGTTCTTCCTTGGGAAACTGCTCGATAATGATGTTGCTTTGATTAGAGAAGTGGGATTATTATAGATTCGGTGCTTCTTGGCCTATCTACAAGCCACCACCTCCAAATGTGGTAGGTCGATAGACTGGTATATCATCTTGTAAATTCATTAAGTCTTAGACATTTGATTCTCCAATTTGAGATTGCTTAAGCAGATCTTCTTCTTCCTCTTTGATGCGTTAATAGTCCTCTTCTTGTTTCCTCACGTACTCCTGATATTCAAAATCATCAACCACTCTTTTCTTGAAAGGCAATTCTTATGGAATATTTAAGTCTATTTTGTCAAGATCAAATGGTTCATCCTCCTCATTGGGATTCGCTTCCTTAATTTGAGCCAAACCAAGGGGTTTTTGTTTTTCTTCTAATTTCTTCATCAATTCATTCTCTTCTTCATCTGACTCATCGAATTCAACTGGCATTTACTCTCCTGGCTTCAATTTCAACTTGGTGTAATATTCTGCAAGTATCCTGGAGAGTTAAATGGTTTAGACTCCCAAAAGCTTAGGCTTATCTGGCAATTCCTGATTCCACACATAGCAATCGATGACAGGCGAGAAATGCTGATTTTTGGGGACATCCACTGAAATTGGGATTAGTCTATTGATGTTCACACCCTTGTCCTTCACTTTCTTGTAATCAGTGTAGATGGGATCGTAGTCGTCTCCACTGATATCGAATGAAACAGAGACGTTGCTTGGTGTGATATTTGAGACCATGTCTTCGAAGTTACGTAACCCAATGCAGAATAGATTGAGGTCCTGTTTAGTACAATTAGGATAGATGCTCTCATCAGGAATAAGATGTGCTTTCTCCTTGGGAATAATTGAATATGCCAGGAGTATTTGTCCTTGGATTTCATCAGTTGCATCGTACCTTATGTTGTACCACTTAGGTTTTTTGTAGAACATATCAACAATCTCACTATCAGTCTAAAATTGCATCTTTTGGGGTTCCAGAGTGATCCATATTCTCCCTATCAAATCATAAGAGGCCTTGTTGTCCTCATCCAAATCCTGATCGAAAACCATAACGAACATTCCTGAAGGCACTATGACTTCTTAGTCGAAAGGATACAATTTCACATTCAATTTTAGAGTCTCGTACCATCCAGGATTCAACGTTTAGGAACAAGCCTTGGATTACACAATTTATCCTGCACACCTTACCTTCACTAAGGGATCTGAAGTACCGGTAGCATCTGCTGGAGGGAGGTTTCTCCCCAAATACAAGTAAACTCTCAATTGATAATCTAGTTTCAATTGAGCATTCGGTTTATAGGGTTCTCTCTTTCCTGGCATATTACTCATTAGTTGGATGTTAGCAAAGAGAAACCCTGGAAATTCATCATCTTTCACCAAATCCAATGATCTGTCCTCAGTCATCTTAAAGATTTGAGGACGGAGAGGACTATCCAAGTAATCTTTGGGTTTCAATCGAATGAAGCTGTGTCTTCGATCCTCAATATTATCATCTGCCATATACACGATTATGTCTGGTATTTCAGCTGCATTTTTGGGGAATAGCACCTTCTTGTCTGGTAGATTTTCATAGAACATGCATGATCCATCCTAAACAGTAGCAGGTTGACTGACCAATAGATATGGTCCCATTTTAACTTGTATGATGGACTATTTCCTAATTGGGAATTCGTGTCCTTCAAGTAAGTCTACTCTCAGTATGTATCCCTTTTATTCTGGAACTGGCATAGGGTTTTCTGGAAATCTATAGATTAAATCCTCTTTAAAGGTCTTAGCATCCCTTTGATCGAAACGACAAATAGTGAAACAGATTCTTCCCCTGTAATGAGAACCCATTGTCATGCCATATAGATTCATCATGTCGGCCTTTTTAGATTCTCCTCGTAAAGGAGCACCGTACAGATTGACCCACATTGGTTGTGATTCAAATTCAGGGATGGACTTGAACGGGAGTTGAAAGGTTCCGACCAAGTCATCGTCTCCGAGAAGATCATGATCATAAACGCTGATGTCCACGAATTTGCTTTGATTGGGGAGCATACACGCCAAGTTCAATTGCTGATACCATTCTGGATTACGACTGGTGACAACTTTGGATTTGATTTTGGAACCCCCGTATTTAACAACCACATAGGCATCGATTTCAGCTGCTGTCATATCCAGAGGAACCATGTGTTCTCCTTTGAGCAGATTGATTCGGATACAATGAGGCCATTATTGGATCTTTTTGGGAGTCAATGTTGCTCCTTTGGTGGCATCTGCTTTTTTTTCAGTGGCCACATCGTGTACAAATGGCTCATCATTAGGGCCTAATACCATTATATTACACAAGACGTATCCCATGGTCCCTTCTCGTTCATCGGTTGGATCAGAGAGTGCTAGGTACGTTCGATATAATTCATGATGTAAGCTGAAATACACACTACTGAGATCCAACTCATATGATCCGATTATTTTATTGCCCAAGAGGGGATTCTTACGATCAATTGCAGCCACAGTTATAGTAGCTGATGACAATTGGGCCTTTTTCATATCATTTAATTTGAATGAGATCAACTAGTTGAAAATGGGACTTAATTGATTCTTAACAACTTTAGTTCGTTTCACTTAGCCGCATACTGTCAACTCTATAAATGCATTGCAAGCAGAGCCTTTGGACGAAAGCAACCCAATGCCTGCAAACCCGGAGATACTAAAGAATATTTGTACATAACATACGTGGGTATGAGATCATTGGCCTCCAGCACTCTGATTTGAACTGAATAATCGCCCTCAATCATTTTGTAGGTCTACAATAAGACTATGAATTTACTTTGATTTCTTCCTCATCTTTTTTTTGTTATGCCATTTGAAATAAATGTTATAATAAATGTTTTATATTATTTCCTTGTAATGATAAGTTTCATGTTTTCACAACCAAGCTTGGAATCTAATCGATATTGGCATAGGAATAGATGTGTTGCACATAAGGTCCCTTTATAAAAATGTCAGAATCGGTCAGATCTTCGGTTTGCCATTTGATCAGAGGATGATCAATGACAGGAATCGAATAATGATAGGTCTGAAACAGTTTGGCTTCCTTGGTTGAAATGGATATGGTGTATGTCTTGTTGGGTAGCAATTTGATGGGATTTCTGAATTCAATGAAATACAAGTGGCCATCCACTACTTGCAATTTATCATGTTCCAAGACTTTGTGTTATTTGAAGATGTATTTGGTTAGATTGGTATCCTCATGTAACTTATAAATCAATTTGGGAGTCTTGACTTGCGAATCGTAATTAGTGGAATTGTAACTTCCCTTATACAGTATTGGTTAGAAGATTCCAACCAAATACAACTGCTTCTCTCTCACTTGAAACACATTGGCTCGAATGGTGGATTTGTCAAAGATACTGGGCTTACTCTGTCCGTCATCAGCTAACATTAAGGAATCGATGATATAAATACCTATCCACACTTTTCGCAGTCTCTCCACTCTCTCAGTTTTTGTGTAGAATGTGCTATTAACACAATCCAATTGATCTATCATCGACTTTTAGATGTTGGGTATTTTGTCCTGCAAGTACGATGTGAGTTGTACCAATTACTACTTACTCTCTTTCTCTTTTAAATTGATTTGATTATTTTAAATGTTTTATTGCTGATTGATTAGGAACAATCTCAATTCTTTTATGTCCTACTCGTTGAATTGGTTCAGACTCTGCAGGAACTTGTATCCCTATTCATTGATCTTTTGGTCATTCACCAACTTCAATATGAGCAATCTCAATTCGTCTTCCAGTTGGTTCAACCTATCCTCAATTGCATTTTTAAAACTTCTAAATACATTAAAGGCTTCCAATCCTTATTTGTCCTATATTATCTCATTCACATTGGTATGACGTTTGAGTAACTTGTCAATCTATTTCATATAAATTATGTGAGTCGAATGAGTCAAATGAAGCTTAATACAATTCTGACAAAAGTATTACTCTTCCTTGCACTCCTGATTCAGACAGATGTTGGAAATGGGTGCTTGGGGATGCTTTGTACATTTAATCTTCTGAAATTATTCAATAAAATTCATTAATTTTAATTATTGAAGAATTATTCAATCGTGCACAAATCAGATTCCGACATATCTATTTATGAACTCTCCATTATTTTCCAGTTTGGAATACTGAAATACTTCCCAGAATACAAATTCTTGTTTATCAACTGCAAATCCTTAAACCATTGCTCCTTCCTCAAATTGTACCTCCATCCTCTCGTATATCTAAATACACAATGCATCCTTACAGATTCTCCACAGCCCATAACTACTATTCTTCATCCATCACATTATAAAATATGTAGAAATTCGTCTCCTCTGAAAACTAACTGAACATCTCCTTCTTCCTATTCACACTATTCTAACGAGGCATCAACTTTTGCTTAATCCAGTCATGAGGCTTCGAAAGAGGATCCGGTTGAGTCGCATTATCATCTATGAAAGGTGAAATAATCTTCGTTGGTTGTCCCGGTAATCTAATCTAACTTTAATCATACTTGTTATCTTAAACAGACATCCCCAATTCATCTAAATTCATCCCATTCCATAGCTTAAAAATTGCTTTGTCCTTATCCTTCTCTTTCTCTGATACCTGCTTTTGAAGTGCTGCAAAACCATACTTTGATTTAAATTCATCATCCATTTATTTACAAATTTTATACAATTAATATTATACAAATAATAATAAACAATGCAAAACAATGCTTTCTCTCTCTCTCTTTAATATTTGTATTTTACAAATTTCCAAAAATAACTTAACTACATATATATCTTTAAAATTGTTATATCTCTCGATTCCAAAAGAATGCTTTCAAATATCATTTTTTAGAATTGATAAAAATGTATGAACAACCAAATTATACAAATTTTCTGGATTGAATGTAAAAGAATATCTGGTAGAAGGGATATTTATTACAGTACGTTGCTTTGATGAGTGAAGAAAGAGGTCCATTTGATTTATATGTATAACGATCTAAGTGCAATTTTGTTGGTCTCTTAGTTCAAATTTATGATTGAATTTATATAAGTATAATATATTGAAATCATAAAGTGATTCTACTTATGAATAAGTTGGCTCAATCGATTCTTTTCAGAAGGGCTGTTATTGTCAAATCTAATTCATGCAATGAATGTAAATAACTAAATATATTTAAATAGTTAATACTTGGAGTTCAATGCACTTATATCTTTTTTATTCATCTAATTAAACCCATTGGTAATTCTCAACATTTCTGATACACTCACATAGGCTGTTTGCTATTTACTAAATGAATTTGAGGTCTCTTTCCAACAATTTGAATCAAATTGCACAAAAGGCTAAGAGGATGACCTTGGAATGTAAGATGATGATTCGTAATTGAGTCTTGATATTTATTGAGTGTTTTCAGGCTTTTAAACTGTCTATCTCAATTGTGTGCTTTTAAGAATAAATTCCAATTGTTTTTAAGCATTGTTCCTTTTCGGAGTCTTATCTCCCGTTTTATTTATCTTTGCTGATGTTACCTCTCGAATATAGTTTCGAAATTCGACTAGCTCTTCTTTTTGTAATTGTGGATACATTGAATGTAGTCGTTAATATAAAAATTAATAATTCACACTTTTATCAAGCTTACTCATACACCATCTTTACTATCACAGTCGGAGGTATCTTATCTTCAAAGATTAACTACTACAGGGTTTCTTTTGAGATGGCTTGTGGCCTATGAATTTAACTAACTATATCCATTATTATTTGATCACTTAACACATGACCCTTTCCATCTATTCGCTAAGCCAACAGTCTCAACAGACCTTGGATCTCAGTAAATGGAATCTCGTTTCTCTCCGATCCCATAAAGAAGTCAAACGTGAATTTAATATATTCTTCAAAGGTGCCTTCCTGAAACACAATCAATTTATAGAAATGCTTAAAAGAAGTGAATGTCATGGAATCGCTTTTGCAAAATGCCCATACAACTCTCTCTACGATCTCATCCTCCTTTCTTATCAAATCCCAAAACACTTAACAATATGTTAGGAATGTATCCTTTTTAATTGAAATATCATTCTAAACCTTCTCAACTTCTGATACATCCAATAGCACCTGATTAGATTTACCAAAGTCTATTGGATCGGTTGAGTTGCTTTACCTCGAATTTTTCACTACAAATTGAGGAGATATTTGAGAATTGGGAGTAGGCTAATTATTGGTTTGTTTAAGCTACTTCTTATGGAAATCTTAGATACTTTAATAATGGCTGATAGAGGAGATGGTACCAAATTATTATAGTCGCATCTCTGTTCTCTGGAAACCACCAGAAACAACTAATTTGTCATAACTTATCAATATATTCCATTCCTTCACTAAATCCAATTCCTTTGTTGTATTATTCTTTATCAATCGCACCAAATTCTCTCTGTATAAATATTTGGGATTGCCTTTCTATCTTTCAAATCTCGTGTTTTTATCATAATCCAAATATGTTCTTAATCTTGGACCAAAACCCTTTAGATTTTCATTTATCAACACCACATTTTATGCGTTCTATTCCATTTCTTACGAGATAGTGGCTTCATCAGTTCTAGATGACTTATATAATCTGGGCTATGATAAGAATGGGGACCTCCAAGAATCCTACAGTGGATTTCTTTCATTCATGACTTACACCTTCTTTTCCAACTTTTTCAACTCTTTACACCTATATTCACTCTGCTGCAAAGGATGAAGACCTTTTAATGCTTTCTCAAATAATAAAGTGGGTTTCGATGGTAATTATGTATAATGTTTTAAGAGATCATTTCTCGAAAAATCAGAATTCTATATACTCTATTAAGCATCATCCTGTAAAGTAGTGACTAAATCAATCAATTACTTTTGAAAATTCCTCTTCTCTACAATCGCTTCTAATTTTCTCTCATCATTAAATTTTGATCTTTATGGAGAACTAAGCAGTTATTTTGATTAACTCTGAATTTTTAATTTTGGTAAAACTGGCTTCAAATTGTTTTTGTTTTAGAGCATAGGAATTAGTTGAGATAAAAACAATATTATATTATATTTATAAAAATATAACTTGTTTCTGAATTAGAAATATACACTATTATTATAAAGTAACCTTATTTTTGATATATATTTTTGTTATTACCAATTCATATAGAGTGTAAAGTGCTATTTAAGAAGGATAACTATAAGATATTTTTATTAAATTTAATAAAATTAGATGGTTAAGGGAATTATATTAAAACAGGAATACAATTATAATTCTAAATAATTATGAAATTCAAAAGGATCCAAATCCTTCTTATCCATATTCAATTGCTATTTCCATTTTTTTCTTAAGTTCTTCATAAGTCTTATAGTATGGAATAACTAGTTTATAAAAACATGTTTGTGATCTAGGTAAGTTTGTTTCTTTCATTGCTTCTTAAAATTCAATTTATATAGTTGGCTTAGCATTCCAAGGCAAATAAGGGCATCCTGTAGTGAATTACAGAAAATCTTGCAATTATTCATCTTCTAATTGGTTGATAAATTTCTAGAAAAATTAAATCAGTTAATCAGATCCATTTATATATTTTATTAATTCCAATACTTTATCAGGTTTAATTTCTGTAGATCCCACAGTCAATGTATGCATTTCGGTAGCATCAAAACATTCCATCAAAAGCTATTAATTAAAATATATAACTACCTGTCTATTTAGGACTGTATCGAACCCTTCTATGATTTTTTTAGTAATATCCTGAAAATTTCCAACAATTAAATACTCAGCTAATTTTTAGAGATACTCCTCGATATTATTTTTGGTGACTTCTATTTTAGACCCATTAGGGATTAAATTATAAGTATTAAATCCTGATGAGTGTGTAAAAGTAATACAAAGAGAATCTATAATCTCTTCTGTCATCTACCTCATACTTCTAATATTTTTAAATTCAATATCATCCATAATACCTTCAAGGTCTTCAAAGACAATTGGTTTATTAAATATTAATTTCCAAAATTAATGGGCAAATGGCACTCCTATAATTTCCTTATTCAGTATTGAATTTGCAATTAACTAAAATAGTATAATTAATAATTACTTTTCCAAATGCTAAAGCATATTTTAACCTTCCTTTTTCTGGCTAAAATTTGGGTGAAAAAAAGTATGTTTAACTCTTAGTATTTAATTGAAAAAATCCATTTGATTGACTTTTCATCAACTCACCAACTTTATTATAAAATTCCCTTCTTAATCCACCATCATCACTTCCTTATTCACCTGAACCAACATACTTAATCTTTAGTGGACATTTTAATTATTAATCGGCCAAATTCATCACATCATTCGCGAAATTAGCTCTCACGATCTTTACTTCCTTACACACTTATGGAAATTTTAGTTTTTGATAGTACTTGATAATTCTCATTTCTAACGTAAGTCCTTCCAAATGAAAAGTACATTCTACAATGTTATTTATATATAAATACCTGATTCTAATTTGTCCAATAAAGAAATCTTAATTGAAACATCCTCAGGTTGATGCTGTACATTATCTATTTAAATAAATCTAATATTTATAGTGATAGTTCCTTCTTTACCTGGACCGATTATTTCAATTATAGATTCTGAAAATTAACTTTTGGTAGTAACTATAGGTTATATTTTATTCAATTTGGATTCGATATTCCCATAAATATTATTAAGATGATCTCTCAATTTGACAATATATTTGATGGTTTGATACAATGTGAGTGTTTGTATTTTTTCAGATAAAATAATTTCACATCTTCTATAATCAACCTTATTGGCTAAGACTATAAAATGACCCTCTATTTTTTAATCTCCCACGAATAAATTATAGATGCCTTTGATTATAGGTTGCCATTTAAACTTAATCCCTAATGTTTCTTTGTATACTTTGGGAAATATCTAAATCTATTAGTATTGCGAATGCACAAAGACAGCATTTTCACAACCAATTTAAGCACTTGTTACGTCTAAAAATTCAATGAAATCAGTTCTCATTTATCCACAAAAGGATGCAACACTTATTTAATTGGAAGTCAATGTATTAATCGTATTGTTATTTTGTAGATCCATCAAATCATACTTAGCTTGTAACAGATTAATTTTCTTATAAATTTAAGGCCTTTGTTCAATTCCCTTTTTTAAATATTCAATTATTTTCCTATTTTCCTTTTTCATAGATGAGGATTTTGTCTAGCTAAAGGAAATTGGTTTATAAACCTCATTTTCCTTGTTACCTTCAATCAGAATCCCAATGTGAGATAATTTATTTTGATTTTACTGCATAGTCTTTTCAGGATCAAACTAGATGACTATTGAATTTTTATAATTCTCATTGTTTACAGCACTCATTAATAATTAGGGTGTTGTTGATCTGATTTTTACAAAATTGACTCCTTAAGCAATCAATTCAACCAATGCAATGTTAGTTGTTATTAATCTAGTATTGACTTTCAGTTTACTAATGTATCTTTTATAATAATTCAAAGAACGCCTCGTTTTTTTCCTATTTATTAGCATATTCACTTAGATAGAGTTTAATTAAGCATCTAAGTCGATCCGTTCATTTAAACCAGAAACCAAAAAATAAAAAGATTAACCAAAAAACTGTCTGTTAACATTCTGTTTAAAATATTGATATAAAGGAATATATTTCTGCTAGCTCTTAAATGTAACCATTGCTTAAAAAACACCTTTACGTTAGAAAAGTAGAAGGCCTCTTTCCTGTTCTTTTGGATCTAATCTCCCTTCTACAATTTACAATTTAGAGAAGTCTCTCGATATAAACAAATTCTTCTCGTCCTTTTTTGTCTATGGGTAATAATGATTATCCTTCAAGATCATCAAATTCTGAAGAATTTAGCAATTAAACAAGTAATTATCAACAGATAATTGCTAGTATTTAATTTATCCTTAATAAACACAATTGTTTAAGTAATCCAAAAGGAATGAATCAAGACTAAAATCTTTCAACTAATCATATTATAAGACTATTTATTTCTCCTATCTTTAAATTTGATAAAAATATCTTTCTTACTAGTTTTCTTACAACAAAAAAGTAAGTTTTTTATCGTTTCTTAACAACTATTTTATTTGTACCAATTAGAATATGTACTTAGTAAGAAGAATGGTATTGGCTATGTTATTCATTAATAAAGTAGAATATTTATCTTATAACTAAATTTCATACTGGTCATCCTTAATAATCAAGGGGGCTATTCCGAATTACTCATATTGAACAATTAAATTTGAAATAAAGTAACTGATGTCTGATTTAAGTGGTTGTTTTTAATTTAAAAATTTGTAAATTTTCAAAATACCATTTGAAAATTAAATTGGGTTATCATTTTAATCGAACTCAAAATGAAATTCAATCTATTTTACAATTTGACAAAATATTCTCTCTTTCACTTGAGTTAAAGTAGAAACATCAAATAGATAAGAAAGGGAATTGTCAATTTGAGGAAATTGCTTTTCATCACAAAATTCTTTGAATCCTAATTCAAACACCTCAAAAAGATTATTATGAGCAAAAAATTGTTCCAAATAAAAGGAAGGATTTTTGTTTAACTTATCATCAAAATAGATTTTTATTACTATTTTGGACATCTCCTTTATTCGATTGGTAAATTTATTGAGCATTTTGATATACTTTTAAAATCTTATATTTGAATCAAAATAACAAGCAGTATTAAAATTACCTATACTTAATTTTTACAATTTGAAACCATCATTACTAATTGTAATATATATATCATTGCTTTCTTATACATGATTTTATTATTGTTAATCCTCAAATCTAAAATTATAATTTATCTAACTTGGAATTATTGGAATGATTTAAGTTAATGCAAATTTATCATAAGTTGATACTATATTTTGTCCAAATAAATTGTCCAATAATTACTATTTTTATTATTCGTTCTCAACTTATTAGATCATTGTAATTTTTTACTGAAATTTCTTTTCATGGCATGTCAATATATTTCCATTTTAATCTATAAAAAGTACATTCAAAATTTCATTATTGAAATTTTATTCAATAGGCCATTTTGATCTCACCCAAATAATAGATAATATATCTTCGAAAACAAGATTTAATAGCTCTCCTGATCTCTCAGATCCTTTATTTTTGGAGCTTTATTATTTTGCAACATCCTCATTTTTATCTCCCTTCTGATCATTCATTCTAAACTTACTTTCTATCTCCTCAACTAATAAGGCTTAAGTTTGATTCTAAAGCATATAAAAATACAACAACTAAGAATCTTAGCAAGAAATTAATTAGCATGGCTCGAGTTTTAGTAAGCCATCTTATTAAAATTGAAATAGAACCATACACATATCCCCAGGCTTTGCTATTTATTAAAAATAAGTTGGGGTGAGTTGGAATCCAAATTAAAAGCTAACGAGCTTGTAAGTTGAAAACTTACCTATTTTTTGAACAACTTTGCTTTTGCTAGCCCTTATTGCCCTTCTATAGTTCTGCTGTGTTGATTATAGCAGATAATTATTTTACCTTATAGATTAGAGTAATATCGATAATTGAACTTCAAATAACTATTCAAAGGATTAACTCCTTAACTGTTCGAATAATGATTTACTAACTTTTTCCATAAAGAATTCTTTTAATCGCAATAATTCGTTTTGAAGCTAATCTTGTCTCTCTACTCTAATTTTCCTATCAGTTATCCCTTTTATTTCAATTATTTTTTCTTCATATATTTGCTTTAATTAAGTATGATTCACAATTATGGAAACATCCTTGTTGACAAAATGACCCAGTCTTTTAGAGAATTGTTATATGTATTTATCTATATCTAATCGATTAAATAAATATCCTACCAAATCTGCAGGTTAAAATACATCAAAATAAAAGTCAGATTCATTAAATACATTGTATAAGTGGAAACTCATTTCTGAAGCCTTAAATATAGATGATTTATTAAATAAACTGCGTTAGTATTATTTAGAATATTAAATAGATTTCTTTAACTGTTTCTCTTTTCTTATAAATACATTTAGAGTAACGATGAGTGTCTTTTTATATATACGATACTCGGTTTCTTCAAATTAAAATATTTAATCCAAAAAGAAATTGCTATCACTTTATGTTTCATATAGAGAGAAAGGTTTTTCTTTGAATTCTACATAAATGTATGAAAAGAGGCTTGTGATTTTAGATAAAGACATTATATTTCTATAAATAATTTACGCCAAGAGCATTTGCAACAATTTCCATTAACAGATAGAATCTATTATAGCAAAAATATCAATATTTTAATTATCAGCAAAATAGGTATTTAAAATACCTCTAGCCAAAACTTGAAGTACTGATATCGAATTTATTCTCCATTAAATAGAATCAATCTCAAAATCTGAAAAACTTCTAACAGTATGTATAAAGTTCAACAATTTTTAAAACATATATTATATTGCATAAGGAGTGAATTAAATTTCTTAGAAAAAGAATTTTTCATTTTCAATATAGTAAGGAATAGTTATAGACCATTTTTCGTACTTTTCTGATTTGATCAGCTCTTATAAGTTATCGTAATATTATTTAAACTTATAAATTAAATAATCCAACGTTGCCTTAGGATTATATTATTCAAAGTATTCTTGACGTGATAATTGTTGTAAAAGTAGATCTGTTGATTAAGGATAAATGAAGTTATAAAATTCTATAAATATTGTATTCTATTCACTTGTATATCTGGATTTATATTTGTTAGTTGGTAAAAAAGATTTGACAATTTAAAGATTTTATTTGAAATGCTTTTTGCCAACAGTACTTTTCCCTTTTTCCTTGTTAGGTATTACTGTTGATTGTTCCATAGCTTTATCATCGTCATCTACATTTTTATGAGGAGCTTACAAATCATTTATTTTAAAATTTTCTTAGCTTTCTTCTAAAGGCTCCAGAAGGTGTTTAAAAAATAAGATGCTCTCATAAATTCCACAAGATATTATTTTTATCTCTTTTTTTATTGGTTTGACATGTCTTACTTTATAATTTTTTATTTTATTCCTATTATTTGTAATTGGTTTTGGATTTGTATCACCTGGCACTTTTTGTTTTATGTTTATATGACTACCATTTTCTATTTCATCCTCTTCAATAACCTAATCTTTATCTTTATCATTATCGCCTTCTTTTTTATTATCTTTATCTTTATCATTATTATTAGCAATATCGTTATCCTTATTATTAAAAATATCATTATCATTATCTTTATTATTAGCATTAGCATTATCTTTATCTGGATTATTATCTATACTATTAGCATTATCATTATCTTCATTATTTTTTGGTTTGCTATTTGCTTCATTATTATCATCATTTTTATTTTCATTATCTTTATTTTATTAAACCATATTAGATATTTCTTCTGTAACTAAAGGTTCACAATTCTATAGGTCTCTCTTCAAAGTAAAGTCATCCAAATGTTCAAAACAATATAATGGTATCTAAGAAAAATCAGTTTTTTTAAAGAGTAATTTAAAGTTAAATTAAGGCCATTTTTCTTAAAATTCCTAAAATCTTATGGATTCTGTTTCCATCACTCTTTCATATTTTAATTGTTTTAATACAGGGATAAAATCATTTATGAAGATTTCGTCCAATTCAAACCTATCATTACAATATTACAAAGGTAAAACATAATGCTCATTTATAAATGAAATGGGAACATTCTCAAAAGAGATCTCAATTTCCTTTGCGAAGATACCCCATTCAGGTAATTTAGAGAAGAAAAATCTAACAAGTTCTTCAATCTACTGAATCCAAATCATTCCTAAAATTATATTTTATCCTGTCTGTTGAGAATTAAGCAATTCTTCGAATTTGCTTATGTTACCTATGGTAATTTCTTTATTCAACAAACCTAAAATATAATTTAAACCATCCTTTGATATTTTAGTTTTTTACTTTTCAAAATTCTATTCTATAAATTTTAAGCTTTTTATTAACAATTCAATATTAATATTTTGAATTCCATCCTTTAAAATTGGAAACGAAAAATTATTTAAAAACAAACTCATCATGAATAAGTAATTTTATTATAACGTATCTATTCCAAGTAAATTCTTTTCTTAAGTTGAGTGTAATTCCAATTGATTTACAATGAAATTGTGAAGAGTCTATGTTTATTTCAATTTAACCGATAGCAATAAACTAATCTCTAAATTATAATCTGATGGCTTTAATAAATTAATAAATTCCTTTGGAAAATTCAACATAGATTTATAAAATAAGGGATTCTATATCAAATAGTATTATTAGCACTTAAGCACAATTTATTCTAAATTAGCCATCAGATCTGTAAAAGGCAAACTATTTAAGTAATATTCAAGTAGTTTTGGATGTCCTTTGGAGATATCTATTGCTTGTAGAATGTCTTTAGGTTAGCTTTGAAACAAAGAAAAAAATCTAAAATTATTCTTTAAGTATTTAAGAATAAATTGATTAAATCCAAATAACTTGTATATGCAAGCATGCTCAACGTCAAGGAAATTATCTATCTAGGCAGTTCTTTATACCTTATGATTATCTGTACTCCAAATACCAGTAATGGAAACCTTTTTTACTGCTTTCTTCAATTTATCAAGCATAACTTCCCTTTTCTTTAAAAATTATGTTTTAACTTCAACTTATCGATTCTCTTATTTTTTATATTCAACTTATTTAACTTCACCTGCAACATTTTCATCAGCTATTTCATCATCATCGTTTATATCTTCATTTTTTATATCTTTGTCTATTTATTTTTCAATTTATTTATCTTAAACATTTTTCTGCTTATAGGTTCTTCCCTTACTTTTTTACTATCTCAATTGTTCTCTTTATGTTGGTATTAAAAGTATTGATAAGTTATTTAGGTAGTATTAAGCAAATAAATTTAGTTTTCGATCCCCTTATTTTTAATTAAACAACAATGGGCCCAAATTTAAATCTAATGTAGTAACTAATGTTTTTATTTCATTTGCCTTTATTATTCCATCCAAATAATCAAATATGAAGTATGATTTTTAGCAAATCCCTAATTAGTATATCAGCAATCTGGATTGTTTTACTTACATTTATAAATGCTATTGTACAATCTATTAAAGATTCTTGCTATTTGTCAATTTCGATAAGTATTACACAATTATAGTATCAAAAACTTAATATTATTTTTTCAATACTATTGAAAGTAAAATAGATTCATCTTAACATAGCATTATTTTATCGATGTCTTTGACATTATTGTAAATATACTTTTCAAAAAAGGAAATGATATTTTTTTCATTCTAAAATTTCAAAATGATATGTAACAGCTGATAGTCTGAACATATTTATTTAGGATTTTAACTTATATCCAAGACTCTTGTTATTGTCATAAAGTGATTACTAATTAAAGCAGCCATTAAATTTGCATTAGAATAATTTACCTAATTTAAATGATCTATACGACCTTTGCTTAATAGAACTTAAATAGGGGTCATTTTATCTAACTATAGCGAATCTAGATTCATTATGCTTTTAATAATATTGTATCTATTGCTGTAATGCTTATTTTGTGAATAATCGTAGTAAGTTTAAGGTAATAAATTTACTTAAAGTTAAGCATAGTACAATGTAGTGTGATTGAATTTAGTTAAATTATAATTTTTGAGTCCCAAATTTAAACACTCAACTAATTGTTAATTTGTAAATTGGTATTTAAGTATATATTCAGCTAATTTTTCATAAATTTCTAAATTAATGTTTTTCTTTTTGAGAATCTACTAGATATATTCAATCATTATCTCCTAAATCATCTTTAAAGAGAATTATTTCGGTTTTCTGAAATCAAAAATAATTTCAGTGTCCTTGGAATTCGCATTAAACAATGAAATATATTTCTCGTAACGATTCTTAACGTATTGATTCATAGTCTTAGTTCTCATAAAGAGTTGACAGAAGTACTAAACTAATTCATTCCTTAGTTTGATCTATTTTTGATAAGGCTATATAATGGAACTATATAGTTCATCATACGCTTCTAATTCTTCAGTTTTTTCTTTTGAATTAGACATCAATTATTTTAGAATCTCGAATGTCTGCAAATAGTCAATATTTTATGAATAAAAGTTAAAAGAGCATTTCTTTTCAGAAAGAGAGAATATGCAATGTTATTAATACGTCCTTTTAAATTTCCTCATAAACAATAATTGGATTTACAACTATTAATTGTTCAAATGCTCTGGAAATCTGTTAACTTCAACTCCGAATTCTTTTTCTATACACATTTTTTTTGCTAAAACATAATAGAAGTAAGACTATTAAATTTCCTTTTAAATATTTGGTTATTAAATTAAAAATTTAAGTTATTCTACATATCCAAATAAGATAAACATTTAAATATGCTCTGAAATAGTTTGACTACTCAATTATATCGTATTATAGAACAACTAATATTGTTTGATACTAAAAACCAAATAATACTTCTTGAATAAGGCAATATAGTAATTTTTGACATTATAATTCAAATATGCATAAGTATACACATATTTGGTTGTCAATCGATTTTCATAGTAATAATTAATTAGATGGTTTAATAGTTCAATGTTTTAGTTGTTTAATGCGTAATAGTAAACTTAAAGGAACTAATAGTTTTACAGTTTTAGTTTATTCAAATACTAAATGCATGTTTGATTAGAAATAAGAGACAATTTATATAACAGATTTACACTGAATATTTTTGAATATTAGAGTTCCTCCTTTGTTAAAAATCGACACAAAATTTCAGCAATGTTTTTATTTTTATTAATTGATTTTGTAAAAGTAATTGTAAATATTCCTGCTATTTTTTCAACTCCAAATTCTTTTCTTTTCAATTCTGTAATATCCTCAATTAAAATTTCCATTACTCTCTCGTCATGAATCAGATCTAAATTGACTTGAAAGCTTATTCTCTCATAAATTTAAATTCTTAAATTCTTGCCTATCATTGTTAAAGATTCATAATTAAGATAACTGATTACTTCAACAAAGAATGGAGTTACCTTTCTTTTAGATTTTGGAACAGGTTCTTTATTTGCAATTTCAAAAATGAAAAGTGGACAGATTTAATCTGAATACCTAAAATTATATTTCATAAGTTATTGGACTTGATGATTAAAATTAAATTTATTCACCTCCTATATTTCAGATGGGTTATAATCAAATATTTTAGAAGAAGAGAAATGATTTAAACTCAAAATGTAAATAATGGAATAAGCATCTAAATTAAAGTAATCTATCAAAAGTTATATGTTTTTTGTCGCCTAATTTTATATCATTTGGTGTAGTTAAATTTAAGATATTACCTCTTTTGTCTTTTGAACTTCCTAAGTTTATAGAAACTTAGATAGTTCTGCATTAAAATAATCATCAATAGCTAATGCTATAACAAAAGGTAGCCTATTAATTTATTAATAGCATATCAATTGGGATTTTATTAATAGATCATGGAATAAATATTACTTTTTGGGAAATTTCATAACCTGAAATTGAATGCCACTCATCTACCAATCAAACAATAAATTCAATTGGCTAACATTAGGTTATGTAATCCAAATTGGACTAATGCGTTGAGTGGAAATAAATTTAAGAAGTGCGGTGTTAGGAACACTATTTTGGGTTAACCACCAAATTTTAGGTATAAATAACTCAGGATTCAAAATAATAATTCGATTTATCATTGGTATTGTAATTTCTGATTTTAAAAGAGCTTATAAGAACTAAAATGTTATTTATTATTGTTCTCCACCTTGATTTTTATTATTTGATTATTAAATTACGTTTGAAATATATTTTGGCTTGAAATGTTAAATCAAAAGGTAAAATTCACCAATTTATAATTAGTTTTAGAATTTTTCTATCCCCAATTTCCAAGAATAAAGTTTGATAGTCTAATTTTCAGCCATCTTCTTAATAGTTTCATTAAATTCTATAGATCTTGGAAAGCTATCACAAAAATTTCTTAATTCAACTTCTTACTTCGTTACATTTCTTAATAACAGTTCTTAAAATACAAATTCCTTCATTACATCAATAGAAGGATTCTACAAATTATTATAAATGCAAATTTGTAAAACTTCTTTTACAAAAACGACATCAACAAGCTATTTTATTAATTAATACAATGTAGTGCTGAGCCCTTCATACTTTGTTTTGCTATTACCATAAATTTTTGCCCACAATAGCTTCGGATCTCTTTTAAACTACTCCAAAATTATTTAATTAATTTCTTTTTGAAGCTAACTTGATTGATCTTTAATGTCCTTTTTTAAATAAACTAGCTTAGCTATAAGTTATGCCTCCAAAGAATAATTTTCTGGCAATTAAATTTTGAATTTGTCTAACTCTTTTTTCTAAGCCTACAAATAATTAACAAATTTGAATGCTTTCAATTGTTATATAATAAAATCATCATTCTAATTCTATAAAATAATTTATAGGAATGAATGATGAGCTGTTCCTAGATCATGGGGAAAATGAGATGTAAAAGCAAAAAACTAATTTAAGTGAGAGAACTTAATTGAAAAATTTCGTTTTATCACTGCTTTCATTAATTGAATGTAATGTAAGTAATAAAGATCATATTACTCTTACAACTCTTAGGTTAGCTCGATATTTAATTGATTTTAAGCTTAGCAAAACGACTATTTCTTCATTCTTTTAAGTTATTTAATGGTTTTCCTTTATTTTACTTTCCTGAATTTCAATTATTCTCCTAAAATCTGTGCTAATGTATCTAGTCTAAAAAAATCAAATTCCTTTCTCAAAGGTTCACTTAAATAATCAAGGATAGCCTAATCAAATATTTTATGACTGTTTATATAAAAGACAAGAGGTATTTAATCCTAATAGGGTTATAATAGTAAATTTTTGAAATTTTTATTCTTTTTTAGCAAATTCAATATATCTTAGCTGGTTTTATCGATCTTTGTTGGCAAGTTTTTGTTTAGGAAAAAACAATGCAATAGGTTGAGTCCTTAAGGAGTAGAGTATTCAATTCCCTTATTAAGTTATTGTGGAAATTATTTAATATAATCTAGAATAATTTAAACAGGGGCTCTTTAAAAAAATATCATAAAAGGAGTCAACTTAGCATTATTTGGATTTTAAATTAGACTATTTGAATATTGAATAAAGATATCCCACTTTTTATATTAGGCCACTTAATGGAAGATGTTGAATTAGAGTTCTCGAAGAGTTGAGTGCATTTTTAATTCGTCTTGAAAATGCCCTTTTTTAATTTTTTTTGATATGATAAGATTTTTTAATTTAAATTCTGCTGATGCTTCTAAATATTCTTCATATTTTTTTTCAAATGCCTTGACTCCTTTAATTAGTTAACAGAGAATCTTGAAAAATTTCAAATGTGATTCATTTTATTAATCGATATATGAAAATATAGTTGTAAAATTTTAAATGATATCTTTTTTTCTTTGCTCTTAAGATGATATCAGAATAACTTCAATAAACTTGGTTTTTTGAGTAGCTCTCAAAAACTCCGTAGCTTTTTCGACATTAATTTGAGTGTTCAAGTATTTCAACTTGCGGAATAATGGAATGGCTATTTATTGTAAATGATCTTCCACCAAGTTGAAACCTAATAATAATTGGGTAATGATATCATAATTATCGATTTTATTTAATATTAGTTCGATTAAAGATTTGCCTTCATTATTATTAACAAATAAAATATCAAGAGGAGGCATTTTTAATTGCTCGTTTTTACTCTAAATATATATGTGTAAATTACCAATAACATTTATAAAGTGATGGTTTTCTGTTGAATATGAAGCATTATTTCGTCTAAATCCTTTTAATGCGATTACCAAAATTGATTGATTCTCAGATAATATTGTTTAAATGTTTCAATTTTCTTCTTTATTTCATTATCTTTGTTAATATTGAGTATTTAGGTTGCTTTTTTCAAATGGGATTTTTTTGACCTATTTAGAAATATGTTATTAGGATTAGCTGCCTAAAATTTTGAATGTGATTCATCAACAGCTGGAATTCTGTCTGTTGAGATTTCTTGCTAAAGGTTAATCTATTGCTTAAATAGTTTTCATACATTAGGATTCTAAATAGTAATGTAGGCAGACTGTCTGTCCAATTTTATGTTTTTATTTTTTTAGTTAATACAACCCATTTTATTTCGAATAATAATTGAAAATATTTTTAAATAAAATTAAATTAGTTTGATATCAACTATGACATATCAAAAATGAACCTTTCTGATTAAATTTTTATGATACAATTAATATTAATTTTCTGAAGAAGGGGGACCAAAACTCGGCTACATTAGTGTCCATTGCATAAGCATTACGATAGTACTAATGTGTTTTAAAAAACAAGGCCTGAAATTAAAACAAAATAATATATTTAATGTTCTTAACTATATTTGATGTAAGAACATTAAATTTTCTTCTGGAATAATTTTGAATATATAATCAATTCATGGAGGGCCATCTGAAAATACATAAGATCACGTTCTAAATCCATCGATATTGTAAATAAATACTTAGATCAATTATTAAGATTCTTGATGTTCTAAAGATGATTACCTCCATTTTGACGTCTCCAAATTTCATATGAATGAGTGTTGAGTCATAGATGAGACGTGATTCAATTTATTTGATCTATTGTATGAAGGAAGCCCTTTTTATTTTATTTTGAAATCTAAATTTTCATTCTTTAATTAATATATTATACTACGAATAATGTCGAAGAAGTCTTAAATTTTTGAATACAAGGATGACATCAATGGGAGAGTGCCAGTGATATTTCAATGGAGTTTTGACTTCAATTTCTTGGTTTGTGGAGGTGATAAATCTGTAATTTATGTGCTTGACAAGTAAATATCATAATCAAATTAGGCGAGGGAAACGTTTAAAGGATTTCCAATTGGCTACAAATAATAAATTATTGTAATTGGAATGGGATAAAGATGGTGAATATGTATGCATTGTACAGGTATGGAAGAATGAAAATTTAAAAAGGATGGTCTCAATCATGTAAATTTGTGGGCTCCCTTCACTAATAATTCCCAAGTGATTCAAGTGGAATTGGATAATCCAAAAGCAAAAGTGTCATATGCAAAGTGGTCTAAAAGTCATGGAATATTGGCAATAGGATCAGATAAGGGTGGTTTGTTGTTCTATACAAAGAAGCAGGCGAAGAAATTACCGACGATGGGAAAGCATAGCAAGAAGATCATCAGTGGGGATTGGAATAACGAGGGATATTTAAGTATGCATTCTCAAAAGTATCAATCTAGTAACGAGTGGTGAAGACAAATTCTTAACAGTTTCAAATTACAATTCAGAAACTATGTTTGAGTCTATTCCTGTGAAGGCTGAAGCCAAAAATGTAGTTTGGTCAAGATCCAAGACAGATTCAAGGGAGTAGAATTAAAGGACAGTCACAGCTATCATTCAACAAAAAACAATTATAATGTTTGAATTGGGCAAGAATCATAAGATGCCTGATGAATTAATGTTTGAAAATAAATACGGGAAAATAGTGGATTACACAATCTTCGGTGATGGATATTTGGTCATAGGATTTAGTGAAGGATACGTAGCCCATATTTCTACACATAGAAAAGAAATTAGTAACTATTATGGTTATTTCATTAGAGGATGAGGTGCAAAGTGAAAAATTGTTGAAATCAGTGGATGCTATGTGCACAAATGATAGTCTCTATAAATTGGCAGTAGCAGGTGATGGTTGTATCAAAATGGTGAATTTACAAACTTGGAAAGAAATACCAACTGAGAAAATTGAACTACCTAACGATTGTGGTCGTGTATCCAAAATGTATTAATTCTATTGTAATATTGAGGGTTTGGAGTTAAAATGGATAAATCTTGGTGGTGTCCACTGAGAAAGGTTGTTTGTTTGGATTTCAAACATCGATTCCCACATTGACTGCCACATATTCATCCATGATTGCATTGTAACAGTCCTTCACAGAAATCTCTATCTATTCGACTCAGGAGTAATCCTTGAATGAAATTTCCACCATCACCTTAGAGAATGAACCCAATTAGATTTCGATGAGTATGTAATATTTTGCAGCTGGACTCAACAACATGGTTTATTATTATAAATATTTGGAATTGAAAAACAAAAAAGCATTCAAACCCGCTATCCAAGCTATCAAGATGGATTATTTAGGATATGTGAATCAGATCATTTTGAATGATGAATCTGCTGCCGTCCTGAGTAATAATGTTTGCACTTTTCATAAAATCGAGTAGACAGGCGAATATGTTAAATAGTAATCTATTAACATCTAAATAGATAATTCCCTGATAATGATTAAGAAAAACCGATTTTGCACATTGGATTAACCAAAAATTTCCTATTCTTGTTAGATTCCCAATCTAAAATCAGAGTCTACAACGTGTTTGAAAAACAATTCATCATTGAATTCAAAAATGATTACAGTTTGACCAAAATCTTCCCCAACATTAGTGGGACAAGATCCATTTGTATCAACAACAAAGGTTAGGGCTTTTTATTTGAGGCATCTCTTGAACTATTGACCAAGATATCTGCATTTCCAGAAAAAACAGAAAGAATTATCTGGGATTAGAAGGATCCCAATTTGTTTGTGACTTAAGTGGCCTGTGAACTTACAACTTACATAGTTAATAAAAATAACCTATAATAAGAAATGGTGCATCCAGTATTGGAATATTTGTCAATGGAAGATTTGCAAAAGTCTTCCCCTCCAAAACCTTCAGTTACTGAAATAGAAAAAGGAGTTTAAGCCTTAAGCTTAACAAATGGAACTTTAAAATGTTTCACCATGTCAAGGAATGTCATGGGTCAACCATTAATTAGTCATTCTTACTTGAAGTCATACAAGGGTGCTGATGACAACAGTGAAGGTCATTTTAGATACTTCTTATAAAATCTAGCCTTGTTTAAATTTGCAAATGCACATAAGGCTGCTTTGAATTTAAAGAACCTAAAATTATTTGATACTTTTGGCAGAAAGTGTTTGGAGAATCTGGAATTCGATGTTGCCTAGAAAGCATTCCAAGCTGCCAACAATATATCGATGGTCATGATGATATAAAGTTTCAAAAACGAGACCGAAAAGAATTTGTTGTTTGCATATGTGGCAATGATTCTAGGACAACATGATTTGGCTCAAGATCTGTTCTTAAAATCGTCTTATAGACTAGGAGCCCTAGAATTGAGAAGCGACATCCAAGATTACGTGAATGCCTTGTCATTGGCCAAGAAGATTGCCCCTGAATAAGAACCATTTATTTGCAAAAGACTTGCTATCTAAATAGAAACCTAGGGGAATAATCCAGAAGCAGTCAAGATGTATGAGATGGCTATGTTGAATGAAAAATTACATGACTCAAAAACAGTTGAAACCCATAATCAATAATGTGTGGCTGGTATTGCTCGTTGTTCAATCAAGATGGGTGATATTTTGAGAGGGTCTAGTCTATCAAGATAAATTTCAGATCCTTTGATTTTATAGGAAATCGCTTTGGTGTGTGAGAATATGAAGTTTTAAGTTGAAGCTGCTGAACTTTATGAATAAGCAGGTTGTATAGAGAAGGCAGCCACTATATACATCACTCAAAAGATGTTCAAGCAAGCTGCACCCTTGATGAATAAAGTGAAATCCCCGAAACTGTTGATATTGTATGCGAAGGCAAAGGAGAGTGAAGGAGCTTTCCAAGAGGCAGAAAATGTGTATGAAAAGGCTGAGGATTGGGAAAATGTAGTACGCTTAAACTTAAATTAATTAAACAACATTGAAAGGGCAAAGTTCATATTGCGAAATAAGTGCAAGACTGTGACTCTGGCTTCGATGGTGGCTTAATATTGTGAAAGGAGAGGGTCTAAAGCAGAAGCTGTTGAATTCTTGATATTGGCTGAGAAGAAAGAGTAGGCATTTGCTTTGGCTCAAAATTACAATGAAATGGACTCGTATGTTGAGCACATGAAGGCATTCTCACTTGAAGAACGCTTGCAGGTAGCCTAATATTTTGAGGGCAAAAACCAATTAGACAAGGCTGCATTTCATTTTGAGAAGGCATAGGATCCCATGAAGGCCTTGAGATTGTACTAGAAAGCAGGAGAGGAGTTCATTAATGATATGATAGATTTGGTGGCACGTAACAAATAGGATAGTCTGATCCAGCATTTATCTGATTATATCAATGGAGATACTGATGATATTCCCAAGGACCCCATTTTTTCATTGAAACTGTAGAAAGCCATAGGAAATCTATAGGCAGTGGGAAGGATTGCTATAACTATTGCAGCATCAGAACAAGAATGTGGTAAGTATAAGGAGGCTCATCAATTTCTATATGAAACTTGTGATGATTTGAAATCAAGTGGGAATTAGATACCATTTGATTTATATCAAAAATTGATGACTTTGCATTCGTACACATTAGTTAAAAAGATTACGAAATTAGAAGAACATGAAGATTTGGCAAAACTGTTGGATAGAGTATGCAAAAGTATTAGTTAATTCCCGAATGGGGCAACCAATATCCTAACTATGGCTGTAATTGAGGCCACAAAAGCTAATTTCAAGTATGCACTAATATGATATACTTTTAGATCAATGGCATATCAATGGGCTATTACATTGATGAAACAAGAGTATAGATCACAAATAAATGAAAAATTTAAAACCAGAATTGAAAACATTGCAAGAAAACCAGTAAAGGAGGAAGTCCCAGACAAGAAAACACCATGTCCATTTTGTGGAGTAAAAATATGAATTTGATAATTAGGAATTCGTTTCAGAATTTACCCTTGATTGTCCTAAATGCTCAAACAATATTCCATTTTGTATTGCATCTGCAAAGTAATTTAGAACATCATAACCTTTAGACATATCGTAGCAGAGCAATGTTGTTTCTGTCCAGAGTGTAAATTTCCTGCAAACATTCAATATTTCAAAAGAATCCTAGAGATTGAGCCAATTTGTCCACTCTGTCAAAAGTAAATACGTCCATAAGATCTTAAGGAAGTATGCATTATGGTTCTACCTTAATTTTAGGTTTCAAAAGAGGAAGTACTCAAGTTAAAGAGGAAGGCTGCAGTCGAAGAAAAAAAATAATGAAGATTATTATTATAAAGTTATTGAATTAATGTCTGATAGTAAACCTTCTCCTCGAAATCATGGTAGATAGAAGACAAAGACAAGTATGACAATCTTTTCAAGAAATAGGCGAAAATTTATAAATACTGTTCAAGAAGCCATCAGTTGCAAATGAAAGATTAGTCGTTAATAAATTAGGCATGAAATTTGATCCTGTTTGTTGGAAGAAGAACCATGAAAAAGGTAAAATCCAATTTGTTTGCATTGTAAATCTCAGGCATTATTGAAATAGGAATCGAATTGCAATGCCGATAGAAGGTTAGCTTGTGCACATTGCATCATCGAAGAACACCAGGAACATATCTCAAATAAGATAACAGTTGAGCAATATTGTGATGCTTTTGAGAGCAATTTTAAGAGCTATCTCCTTTAAGTAACCTAAATAATTTAAATAGATAGCAAAATTAGAGGAATATTACAAAAAATGTAAAATGCTGGATTTAATCAATTAAATAGATAAAGATCTCAGTATCGTTCTCGAAATTGTTAAACAATAACTAAAAGTCTTAAGGGATTTCTACGTTTAAGAAATCCAAATTCATGCTGAATAAAACAATTCAGCTCTGATCTCATTTTATAATACAGAAAAATAGACCTTGTCTAAAATAAAAGACTACGCGCAAAAGAATCTATTTGAGATGACTCCAGCTGAAATGGATCATAGTATGTTATTGTTAGGTCCAAATCATTTGGAAAACATAACAGTTAAATTATAGTAATTCGGTGATCAAAATTCTATTGTCTAAAGCACTTTGAAATCATAATGGAAACTCATTTATGAATAATTAGAAGAATCATTAATTGATGCTATAGCTTAAATTAGCTAGAATAACTTGGATTTTAATTAGCCAACAATTAAAGAAACCTAATAAGAAAACGTTAAACCTAATAACTAATAATAATAAGATTTCTAGAAACTGAATATATAAGATATCAAGATTTAAAATAAATAGATAAATTAATAATACACATAAAACTATTAATAAATACCTCCTTAACAATCCCAAGACTCCTAATAGATTAAAAAAGAAGTCAGCAAACATAGTGGTAATAATGTACAATAATAATCAAACCCTTCAATTAATTTAACTAATAATCAATTATAATCGAATAGTCCTAAAGCTTCCAATGAAGAGTAGAGTTATAAATAGAATTTTAGTATTAGTCATCATTAAGTGACTTCGCCTTTGAAAAGTGGAGTAAATATAGCGACTTTTGGCAATTTAGGTAATGCCAATTAGAAATCCTTGAAAAAACACATGTCTCAACCTAAAACTAATGAAATTTCTGCTCAATCAAATGCTAAATCCAGTTCTCTTGTTCGATAAACTAGTGGCAATGGAGTGAATTACTATTACTAAAGTGATAGCAAACACCTAGTAGGCAGAAAGAATGGCTATCATATGTAAACTCTTACTTCCTCATCATAATAAAAATAATAATAATAGTTTGAAAGAAGACTATCAGCTCCGAAGATATAAAATACTCATTTTAATTGCAATTACAACAATATGAAATGTGTTCATAATGATATTGTTAAAACAAGCCCTGTTTTCAGTTGCTGTAATTGGGTATTTATACTTATGTATTAATATCTAGGCATTTCCATGTTACGAATGCCATGACATGATTTCAACACATAAAGCACACATAACAGTTCCTTCATAAAGATTCTGCTTGAATTGCTATGAAATATTCTCTGTAAATTTATTGTCTACAGTAGATGTCAAATGTTATAAATGCTAATGATCTAATTTATTAATAATTATGTAAACATACTTAAGATTTTTTCGATTTGCAACTCATCAATCTGATCCTTATGTAGTGTTGGGATTAAACAAAAACGCCTCGATGAATTAGATTAAGGATGCTTATATTGGTTTATGTAAAAAATGTAATTGGTTGACAATACAAGGTAGATCATCCTGACTTAAACAATCAAGAGGATGCCAGAGAAAAGTTCGCTCAGATTCACGAGGCTTATAAGATTCTGAAACAAAAGAAATTCTATGAACAGATTGACGAAGAGTTTCAGAAGAATTATTAGTAAGAATTCAGATTTACAATTAATATAGTTAGGGCTAATCAGAGGAGGAGTGCTTTAAGAGGGTCTTCGGATTTTACTTCTATGAAAAACCTTAGGAATATTATAAACCTGAAAATGCTCAAAAAAGAGCAGATTATTAGGAATTATTGCGAAAATTCAAAAACCAATAATAAAACACTTAAGAAATGAAGAACAGTGGCTTTCATGATGTTAAAATTAATAGAACTTTCAATTCAGATTCTATCTACAGTACTTGATAAGATGAGTTATATAGGATTCAGTGATCACACTCTATTGAAAGTCTTATTAATGTTTACTTTGGTTGTTTCAATAACTAGTGCTTATGTCTTCTTCTATAAACGATAAACTACTTACGCCAAGAACACTATAACGGACTCGTAAATTTTGAGAATGCGAACTTTGGCTTAACTAAGAGAACAAAGGCAGGCAAAGGAGAGATCAGAATGAAGTTATAAAATTCGATAAAGGGAATTGTATAAATCAATCTCTTGTAAAGTTATGAATCAAATTGTCAATCTTTCTCCACATGTCGTTCAAACTAGTAGTAATTTCCTTCCTGAACAATTCAGTAGCCTGTTGTTCACCAATGTCCAATTGCAATTTCTCCCTTAAGTATTCGATATCTGCGATCTCTTGCAACTCAGGCATACCTGCTGACAAATTCATAAGGAAGATATTGATTAGCAAATGCCCATGCTATCGAATTTGATTATAGGCTTTGGTGCAGAAATCCTCAAACCTTTGGAAATTGTGTCCTTACACTCCCCCCATTACATACGCCATCTCTTGGGTGAAGACAAAAGGAGTTCGTTCTCGATTGATCCCATATTTGGTTTTGAAATTACCTAACATAATGTGAAGTCGATTACCCAAAAAATGACCAAAATCGATATGAAATAGATGCCCACTTTCAGTTAACATGATGTTCCCACTGTGTCTATCTCCAATTCCCAGAAGATACGTGGCAACACAGTAGCCAGCACAAGATCTTAAGAAATTCTCAACTGCGTTTTCCATGCTGTGTTTGTTATGTTTTTTCAGATATTCCATGATGGAACTTTTGTTCAAAGCTCCAAATTTACCGGCATTCTCATGGATACTTGAAGTAGTGTCTGAATTGAGGACTACTTCAATCATTCCTACTTAATCCAATGTGGAGATGACTTTGTATGGCTTCATACGATAATCAAGACCAAAGTCCAACCATATTTTATCCATGATTTTTATTAATTGTAAGGTCAGCAAATCTTGTCTGATGTCATCTCCACATTTAAAAATAATAAGGAACTTGTCATTGATTGTGATTTTCCTTAATTCCTTCTCTCTTCTCAGGTTCTCAAGGCAATCGGTATCCTTCAAATTCTTAGAAGATAACATGATGATTTACTTTGGAATTTAAGTCACATCCCTAGTTTCAGCAGATTTCATAACTAACCATAAAGGTAGCTATAGACATATATATAAACTCGATTACTTTTTTGCTATCTAATATTTTACATTTTTCGTAGATCAATTCTGAAGCACTCATTCTGGGGTCAATTGCAAATTGAAAGGTTTTGGAGAATTTCTGTCTGGCATCCTACAGTTTATTTTTCATTTCTTTTAATCTTTTGCCTGAATCCTTCTCTGTCTTGATGAAATCAGCAATCTGCATGATCTCGTCATTGACTTAGACCTCCCCAAACAACTCATATCTATAATTTCCAAAAAGCATCATAAGCTATTCCAAAATTAAACTATATCTCTCATAAGTAGGTTGAATGTGCAATTAAGATCTCAATTGCCAAAACAATTCATGTCCCACAACCCAAGGATTCATAATGGATCTTTCAATAAGCATTTCTCCCAGGGGTGAAAAATGGCATTATTCAAAAATGAGAGCTTGAGTCAATTCCAACATAAACAGCACCAACTCATCGTCCTTATATAGACCTACTCTCTTTGTAGCATAATACCTGACTAGCTCATCTGAAATGTTTGCATCCAAAAGAGGCAAGGCATCATCAGAAGGTAGACTCGTCCAAACTTTCATCATCTGGTAGACTTCTCTTATCTCTTCGGGATCACTCCAATTGATTGCACACAGAAAGATTGGAAATGCAGATGGCTAATTCTTGTAGTGATTTCTACATTTTAGCAGTATGAACTTGTCTTCATCTGTGTAAAGATGACGCTAAAGAGGATCAAACTTTAACAATCGATCCAATTTAGCCAATTCATTAGTATTAGGAGTGGCCTTCCAATCTCTTTAAGGTCGCACTGTGACACTGGAATTCAAAGTTCCTCTCCTTTCTAAAATTCCATTCATATATTATAGAGAAATCTGTTAGATATTCAATGGCGTGGAGGGAAACCCAACTTATTTCATATATTTCTCATCTCTCAAACTCCAATAAACATCTTCAATGAATGTTGGCATCCCAATTACCAATTAAGTGTAATAAGGGGTTCGCTCTTGATTTGGCAAGGCTGCTCCATAATATTCATTCATGCATGCTATCCTAGTGTCACATTTATAGAATGGCCACACATTTAGATGCAGTCTTCCCTACTTTAGTTTTCCATTTTCATCAAATAATTCTGTGATTGTACTTCCAATTATTTGTTCCTCTCCATTTGAAGAATGCAAAACTATGTTGAAACACAATCTCAATTCCATTGGTAATTAAGAGATTTTCAATCCTTAAAACGAAATGTCTTGATAAAACCAGGTGTTTTGTCTGAATGGCACTTTTTGACTGTTCACTATACTGAATTTGGTCAAAGGAGTTTGGCCATACATCAATAGCACTTAAACAGATATCAAATATGGTTGTATATCGAGTTCATACTTCTACATTAAACATTCCATATTGGCTGTCCCTTGTGGCCCATGATTAAAAAAATGAGGATTAAAAATCCCTTTAGAAAGTTATTTAATTTATGCAGCATCTTATTCCTTAGTCTTGCACAGCTTCAAAAAACTAATCTTCTTTTGCAGTTTCTCTTCATCTTCCACCTTCACTTTTTTCTTAGAGGTATTATGCTATTCCTCTTGCTTTGCTGATGCTTTAGTAATAAATCTGGGCGGACATTGACCATTATAAGTTGCTCTTCTTTTGTGGCCATTCTATTTTTTGAACTCGTCAAGATCTTTATCATCCAAAATGAAGAGTCTATGCACATTGGAGAGACACAGAATCTGAATTTTGAATCTGTAATCACATTCTCCAGAGTATATGATGCTCTTTTTCAAAGGAAAGTAGCGTTCTTATAGCATCTAGTATCTCATCTCAACGAATTCCAAACATCTCTCCTTCAGAAATAAACGAGGTCGCAAGGGTGAGAAGTTCGAGTCCTGTCGACTTATCTTTTTTCTTTTCTTCCCCTCCTCATTCTGAATATCTCGCAAGGGAAATGGAGCATAAAACAGAAAGCAGGGGATATCCATAAATTACTCCCAAGGTACACTTTCATCCGCATTTCTTTCAAAAATGGGAGGAAAATTATCATACATCCTCCGAACCTTAGAAACTTCAGTTAGATTAACTTGCAAATATTATATACCTCTTAAATTCATTCTGACTCTATCGTAACTCAATATTGAGTAGTTTCCTGCTAAGTATTCTCTAAAACCAGAAATCTATAGAACAAACTGATTCTCAGGGGATTTGGTCTTCAGTCTTACTTAAAAGTTGTTGTAAACCACTCTCAGGATCTTCTTAATTACCTCGTCTGAACAAGTGACTAGATCCACATGCAATTCGATTGTTATAGGATTTATATCCTAATATGCTTAGTCTTCCAATCTGATGTAATCGCTTAGATCAACGATCAATTTGAGGGAAGTGACTTTGGAGAATGCATCAGACATCGATGATTCAGCCAAATAGGTTGGCTCCTAGTTCACGATCTTATGCAATAAATATTCTGAGATTTCTCTCCTTCGATACCTTTGGTTTCTCAAAGTGTCCATGTTCCATGAGGAATCAGGCAATTAAACCAATTTCTAAATATCCATAATGTCCTTCTTCGCCTTGACTCTGTAAACTTAAGGAACCTCGTATTCAATGCAGATTTCATGATTCTTAAGATTGATAGTGAAGATTTAATGAGAATCCATATCAACACAAAGTAAATATTTCACCTTCTCATCCACCTAAGCTTTTGTAAAGATTCTTTGGCTAGTTTACAATTATCTATCCATTTTTAATAAATTTAAATATCATTGTGAAAGTGCTCTTTTTTTGTAAGAAATCAACAATTAGACTCATTGCGAATATTAATGACTATAAGAACTTTATTGCTAAAGAAAATGATGTATTATATTATGAGTAGCTATGAATTAGAGTATGTTATTGATTTAAGATTTGAGTGTATAGGTTTGAGAATTATGAAGCAATTACTTGAAAAAGAATCATAATAATAAAAGGATAATATCATTCGAAAGACCAAAGAAGAACAAGAGTCATAAAGAAAAGAGAGAAGATATAAAATACTTAATTAATTTGAATTAACAGCTCTGAAGACATCGAATAATATTTTAGATATCATAAGTTAATTTAAAAACATACTAATTGTATTTAATATTATATAATAATGAGTAGAACTAATACTTACAATCCAAAGATTTAAAATATATAAATTAATTTAATATTATAATTTTGTTAATGTATAACTCAATTTACATGCATTAAACCAGATTCCTGATCGTCTGAATCATCATCTTGATCCTTCTTCTTTTTACAGAAAAGGAATCCTACTAAACCTATGATAACCAACGACCCAACTATAATGAGTATGATCCACCAAGCTTTGGAACTTGAGCCGTTATCATCATCACCTCCATTATCTGGTTTGACATTTATTTTAATTTATTTAGAGACTGATCTGTAATCATTCGAAAATGTTATTGTTAAGGTTTAATTTCCAAGTTTGGCACTTTCTCCGAAGTTCAAACTGATATCCTGTTTAATCTCATATTGATTTAATCCCTTACTGATTTTACTTGATATCAAAGTTGAACCCTAAAGTATAAATTAAAATAATTACTTGTAAATGAAGTGGGAAATCACGAGGTTCCAATTTCTATGTTCCAGTGGTAAATGTAAAGGAACCCTTTATCACAGAAACAGCATTATCTGCAATGTGATAGACACCAACCACAACCTTTGACTTGCTCACAAATGCCAAAACAACTGATTCCTTATTAGCAGCCACAGTATTTAAAGCCTTCCATGTTCCATACCTATTAAGAGCCACTTTGACTTTAGTATCGGTTAATTTATTTGAATGGTTGTCAGAAATAGCAAATTGTAGAGTGAAAACATAAGTTGAAGCATTATCAGTAACAACCACTAAGGTGGTAGTCTTAGTTTTATCCTTGGTTGATTCTTCTATAATCTTATTAGAATAATAATGGGTATAATCGTTTGCATACTACTTATTCTCATTTAACCACTTATTAAGTAACAATTACTCAATATATA